TTCCCTCCGAAATCCAGGAGAGCCCCGGCTCTGTTGTCAGAGAGGCTCCTCCTACTGACCCTGCCGTGCTGGCTTTGCAAGCTGGGACCTCCTGGCTCCTTGCTGCATGTGTTGACATTACAGGTTTGTTTAAGATAGGATCTGTGCAGCCCAGGCTGGCCTCAAACTCACATACCTTCCGCCTCTACCTCCTGAGCGCAGGATCACAGACCTATGCCCCAGTTCCTGGCTTGATGTTTGCTTACAAAGCTTATTGCCAGATACTCTTGGTCACCTGGCAAGTGTTTGTAACCACGCAGGTGTCCACCGGGCAGCTGGTATACAGCAGACACTCCTTATGTGTTCATTAATTCTCTGCATGGCCTTGAGGACTTTGGGAAACAGTGGGAGTGCGGACAGCTGGTAAAGGTCCAGGCTTCTGGAGGGTTCCCCCAGGTCTGGCTGGCTGGTGGTGGGGCTGAGGTAGGTGTTGGAAGGTCCCTCCAGCACTCATAAGGGTGCTCCGGTGTCTTCTCTGGAGCCTGCTGAAAAGCCAGCTTTGCCATTAAGGAGACTGCATTGATCTGATGGACACTGATTTGCTCTGTGGGCTCCACAGGGCGCTCATGGCCACCGCCCTGGGCTGTTCAGGGTGACAGGTAGTGCCTGGATAGGTGGGGAAGCTCAAGGCTGGTGGGCTTGTAAGACCACAGTGACACAGGAATCCCTAACGGTCCAGGCCCTCTCTGTGCTTGGTCAAGTCTCTGTTCCTGTGACACATTTGTGCAGTGGGGCCTTGGATCCCACACTGTCTCAGGACTGAAGGGGGCTGCTCTGCTGTCACCTCTAGAGACTGAGGGCCTCAAACAAAGAAGCTGAGGTGGTTGGGTCCCCATTACACATATTTAGATGCCTGGCCAAGGCTTGGTTTCTGGCTGTGAGGGGTCATGGGGAGATATTGAGTACTCTTTTCTCTTGTGGAGCCAGTATTCAAACCCCACCTGTTTTATTACCCAGAATTCCCCATCTATCCTCTTGGGGTCTTCATCTTTTATTCCATTTTCCCAGAATTCAGCCTGGCCTGCTTGAGCCCTAAGCTCCTTGGTGAATATGATTAATGATGGGAAAGTAGGTATTGGATCAGGCCACCAAGCTGCCCAACCTGAAGGCTACGATTCTTCTGACAGTTCCTACCCTCACTGCATGCATGGCCTGGTTTATCTTCCAGGAGGCTCCGGGCCTTTCATCCCTGAGCCAGCGGGAATGTGTCAGGAGCCATGGGCAGCAGTGCCGCCTTGGCCTGACTTCTGAGTCTTGGAGCTCTTGGATGGGGGCCAGGCCCTGCCATCTGGGATTTCCCCTTGTGCCTGAGGCCAGCAGGAGCTGAGGGGCCCAGGAGCTGGACCTGCTCTGCCTGCAGGGCCTCTGTGCCATGCTTAGGGGTGGCTGAGCTGCAGAGGACACCGCTGGCACTTTGAGTTGCTCAGCCTGAGCTGCAGTGTGCCTTTGTGGAAATCACATTTGCCCTCCAAACCCACTTCCTTGTCTCTCCCTGATGGATGGTGGTGACAGTTAAGGTCACATCCCTGAGGTGCCTGGCATGAAGCAGTTGTAGTAACTGCCAAGTTCATCACTGTGGTATGTGCTAGACCGGGTGGGTGGAAGGCTGGGCACCATGGGGGAGGTGTGGGTGGCAGGTGAGTGAGGTTGGGCAGGGGTTTGCCTCAGAGGGAAGGTAAAGCCGTGCAGTGGGTAGGCTGGCAGGTAGCAAGAAGCTCAGTGTGCGCCAGGACCAGCAGGAAATTCAGCCAGTGAAATTACTGAGATCAGATTCCAGGCACTCTTGGGTATCAGGCTAAGGGGTGATGGGGAGCCATGGGAGGCTTTAGAGCGAGCGAGCAAGCGAGACATGCAGAGATTCATCTGGAGGGAACAGACTAGTTTGGGGGCGAGAAAAGACAGGTATAGTCATGTATTTAAGGCTGCCTCTGCAGCTGGCTAGTTCAAGTCAATTTGTCCCCCGCCCCCACCAAGACAAGACCTCATGTAGGCTGAAATGGCTTCAGACTCATTACGTAGATGAGGATGCCCTTCAACGTTTTTGGTTTTCCGAGACAGGGTTTCTCTGTGTAGTCCTGGCTGGCCTGGAACTCTCTATGTAGACCAGGCTGGCCTCAGACTCACAGACGTCCACCTGCCTCTGCCGCCCAACTGCTGGGATTTAAGGCATGTGCCACCACTGCCTGGTGACCTTCAGCTCCTGATCCTCCTGCCTCTACCTCCAGAGTGCTGCTGGGACTACAGGGATTCAATATGATGGCGCCACGCTTGGCTTTATGTGGTCTGGGAATGGAACCAGGGCTTCTGTGCACACTAGTGAAACATTGCCAATCTGAGCTGCACCCCCAGCCCCACCCCACTTTGGCTTCTTTTGGTTTGAGTTTTAGAGACAAGGTATTGCTATGTAGCTCAGGCAGGCCTTGAACCTCCTGCCTCCGGTGCTGGGATTAGAGGTGTGTACCGTTACACCTGGCTAAATCTGTCCCCTTACACTTAATTTCTTCTTTCCTTCATGGGCTCATCAAAAAGCATGAGGATTCAGTGCCTGGCATCACGTGGGGACGGCTGGAGAGGCGGGGGCTAGAGCTGCAGCTCCGGGAGGGGCTGGTACTGGGTCAGGTTCATGCTCTGAGCTCAGGGGGGCAGGGGCAGCATTGCGAAGGACAGGATGCATAGCTGAGAGGGGGCACTGGCCAAGGAGCCCAGCAGGTCTGATGTAGACAGATCCCAGCCATGTGACTCAGGAGGGGCCTTGAATTTCCCCATCTCTGAATGGGCCTGCCAGCTACACTTGGGTATGGGTCTCCAGGAAGGACAGAGGCTGTAAAAACTGGGCTGTGAGAGGGAGGTTGGGCTGTGTGTGTGTGTGTGTGATATCAAGGGGAATGGGGGTGTTCGCTGGTAATTAGAACATTTGAACTTCAAAAAAAAAGTTAATTAATGATGAAGCTGCTGCTTGGGCTCAAAGGGGGCCTGGCAGCGACTGAAATTAATTACAGGCTATGGCGGGAGAGTGGCAGCTAGGCCAGGGACAGGAGGAGCAGGGCAGGGATAGAGGCCGTGGAAGGCAGCTTTCAAGGTGAGCAGGGTCTGGGGAGCAAAGGGGGCTGTTGCTATGGAAATTAGGTCAGCGCTCTTGGCAGGCAGGAGGGGCCCAGCCCACTTCACCTGGCATCTGGCTGTGGTGGGCTGGTGTGGCTTCATGGAGCTGTGAACTTGGGTTGAGCTGGTGTGGCCAGGGCCCGGAGAGAAGCTCATTTATTCCCTCAGCAAGTCTTGGTTGAGCATCTACATGCTGTAATGGCTAGAGCAGAGCATGTGAATCCCAGTGACCCAAACTCTGCTCTAGAAGAGGGCAGAGACGATGAAGAGGGTTTAGAAGTGCTTCAGAGCTGTGTCAAGCCAGAGAGCTGTTGGGGGAGGGGCTGCAGAGGCGAGTGGAACTCCTTGCAGGGAGTGCCCAGGAAGGATCAGTTCTGGAGAGTCTTGGGAGTGCCTCAGTGTCTCCCAGTGGAAGGGACAGTTCTTGCAGGTGGGATGTGCCTGAGAACACACATCAGGAAAGGCAGGAGGCCACAGAATGAAAGGAGGCAGTCAGGGGAAGGACAGGAGAGTAGGTCTTGCTGGCCAGCTTTGGGGAGGGCTTCCAAACTTACACCAGGAGAACCTGCGAGCCACAGCAGGGCTCCGAGCAGAGGTGGAAAACATCTCCCTGATACTTTCACTGGCTCACATTCTGTAAGGAGGGGCTGGGACAGCCTCTGAGGGCCTGTGAGGTGTCCCTGGGCTCCAGTGGGAGCTTAGAGATGGGAAGGGGCTTGCTTGAGACCCCAGAGTCACTCCCTGGCTGGGACTGGAGTTCACGTGCGTGTCCTGGTCTCCGGTTGCTACGGGCTGCTCAGAAAGCACATAGTCTCTCTGTACCCAGATGCTAAGTGCTGGGGTCAGGGACAGGAGTGTGCAGACAGCTGGTGGCAGGAGCTGTTAGTCCTCCTCCTGGTAGATAAGAACTACTTCTGCGTCAGTCATCATCTCCAAGGAAAGTCAGGCTGCCAAGTGTGGAGATTCACTCCCAAGTCTGGCTTCAGTCATTTATGTTGTTGTATGGCTTAACTTCAATTTACCATGATGAACTTTTTTGGGGGAGGGCACAGGTCTCCTTGGACCCCAGAACTTGGGTAAGAGAGGAGAGGCTATTTTGGGAGATATGAGCCATCTTAAGCTTTCTTGGCTATATCGTAACAGCTTGGGGACTGTGAGTGACACAGCCCCAAGGTCCCTCTGAGTTTTGAGCTCTTTGGGTGGATAGATTGACAGGATGGAGTCAGCTATAGCCTAAGAGGGGTCGTTAGCAGGGGTACTTAGGAAGTTCTCCTGTCTGTGCTGGAGGATCCCTTATCCTGTTAGTGGCCCGTGGCTGAGTGAAGGACCGATCTCTAAAAGCCCTGGCTCCAGGTAGCAGCATTCTTCTGGGGCAGGACCTGGGGAGGTTGGGTGGGGACGACTTGGGAGTAGCAGCCAGAGAATGACTGTGAGTTTCAAGCCCATTGAGATGGGCAGGTTGGGAGAACATGTCCCAAAGGTTTCAAAAATGCAGCAGAGCCCTTGAACTGGAAGCAGGAGGCTTCTGCAGAGGGAGGGGTGGATGAAGGGAGAAGGTGGTCAGAGAAAGGAGGCGTCAGAATTGTTGGGGCTGGGGACCTTTCTGGGAGCCACTCCTTCCTTGGCGACCAGGAGCAAACTCTGGGGTTGGGTTTGGTCCCTTGCAGGGTGTGCTGTTGGTCTTACCTGTGTGACGGGGCAAGCCAGCCTCCCAGTCTCTGAAAATTTGGACCTGGGCTGTTGAGAGGTCCGCAGGTGGGTGGGAAGAAACAGCCTGTGTGTCCGTTAATGGGGTGTCCCATTCAGGAGTGTGGCACCCTAAGCCGTGCTGCCGCCAGTTCGTCCTTGACTCCGTGTACATGGTTCGAGTGTGTGAGCATGTTGGTTATCCTGCTGAACTGTGTGACCCTGGGCATGTACCAGCCATGTGACGACATGGAGTGCCTGTCAGACCGCTGCAAGATCCTGCAGGTGAGCCTCTGACTTCTTCTCTTCCTCCTTCCCGACCGGAGGGGGGTCCTCTCCCAAGCTCAGGGCCTTACTCTAGTGCAGTTTTCCACCTCTCCTACCTAATTGCCCCTCCAGCATCTTTTGGTTTCCCAGCTGAGGTTCCTCACCCCGTCCTGTTCTCACCAGTGAAGCTCAGTGGCTGACGCTTCTCTGCCGATCGCCCGCCTTGTTTCCCTAGAACCCCCGAAAGGCTCTGGGGCTGTGCCCATTTTGCAGAAGTAGAATATTTGATGCCCATCCCTGGTAGTCAGACCCGAGGCACAGAGTTGCAGTGTAACCCAGGGCAAGCTGCTTGATTTCTCTTGAGTTTTGTTTCCTCAGCTGTAACGTGGGTTATCACATGTGTGCCATTGCAAGAATTAGGAGTGAGGGTTTCGTCCCACGGCCCTAGTGCTTGGCAGTTATTAGAGATAATGCAGGTGAGCCGGTGCTCAGCCCCAGGGTCCTTGCCATTGCCTGGGCTTAAGCAATGAAGGGAATGGGCTGTGTAACCTGGGCAGCTTCATTTCTTCTCTGGGCCCTGGTGTCCTTTCTGTGAAGTGGTCAAGTGGACCAGGGCCTCTGAGGCTTTCTTCCTGTGCTACGTTTGACCTGTGCTGTCTTCCTTCTGCTCCACAGGTCTTTGACGACTTCATCTTCATCTTCTTCGCGATGGAGATGGTGCTTAAGATGGTGGCCCTGGGCATTTTTGGCAAGAAGTGCTACCTCGGGGACACATGGAACCGTCTGGATTTTTTCATTGTCATGGCAGGGTAGGTAATGACCTGGTTTTTGATGCATGCCAGCTGCCATATAGCAAATGCAGGGGTTTCTGGGCGATGACGGTGATACTGTGTGGGAGATGGTGCTGTCTGTGGACGGGCCTGGACAGACAGCTGTTCTTTCCTTTGACCACTGTAAGCATTTATCTGTTGTCCTGGATGGCCACCTTACACTGGGTGTTTTATGCTGATTAATTGCATGCCTTTGAGAAATGGAAAGCCTCCATTTCCCCGTCTGTAAAAAAGGAGTAAAGATACTAGCCTTGTCAAAATGAGTGCCAAGAAGTGTCGGCTTCGTCATCAACATCCTCATCATCACCATCATCTTCATCATCATCAGCATCAGCACTGCCACCATCACCATTATCATCATTATTGTCACTATCATCACCATCACCATAACCATCATCACTATCCTCATTGCATCATCACCCTCTTCCTCATTATCATTACGATCACTCGCTATCATGATCATCACTCCTATCATCATTTTCACTGTCATAATTATAGTCATCTTCAGCATCACATCGTATTTTCACCACAACCATCATCACCATTGTAACCATTACCCTCACCACTCTCATAGCCATCATTATCATTACCACCACTTCATCATCATCATTACCATCATCACCATCATCATCATCACAATAACCATTACCACCGTCATCTCCACAGTTATCATCGCCATCACTGTCTTTACCATCATCATCACCATCCTGATCATTATCACCAATCATTGTCATCACCATCATCATCATCACCACCATCATTATAACCACCAGCATCACCATTCTCACGATTGTCATCATGGGCATCATTACCATGATCATTATCATGGTCACTCAGCAAGTTAGAAATGGAGGGCAGACTTAAGCATCCACTGGCCCTGTTTTTGGTCATTTCTAATGAAGCACAGATGGCTTTAGGTGGGAGGATCAGTTAACCCAGGAATTTAAGACCAGCCTGGGTCATGGAATGAGACTTGACTAAAAAAAGAAAGAAGCCACATGCCACAGCCGGAGAAGCTGGGAGAAACTAGGTTCCATTTTGCCTATTTGGAGCATCACTCCAGGCTTCCTTCCTGCTTTTCTGGAGTCTGTCCAGCAGCCCGAGAGGCAGAGGGCTCTGCTGAGTGTGGGTGCTGCCCTGGAGGCCAGCGGAGGAGGAGAGAGGGCGGTATGCGACTCAGTCCTGCCAGACTCACTCTCTAGGACAGAGCCCAGCAGCTCTGCTGTGGTGGGGTCTGTCCACACTTGGATAGGACCCTGATCACGGCACTGTGTTTGGCTGAGAGCATTTAGCCCAGGAGTCTGATGGGACCAGACTGGGGACATGGGGGACATGATGGGAGGTAACACGTGGGAGGTGGAAGACAAAGAGGCACTAACCACCCTTCGTTATGGCTCAGCAGTGCAGGAGTTAGAAGAAGGCTGGGGACCGTGAGCGGTCATGTGAGTGGTCGTGTGTGGGAGCGTATGTGCGCATGTGTACTTGAGTGCTCTGCCATCAGTAAGGGGTAGCAAAGTCACCTTCAAATGGCTGAGAGGGGACTAGATGCAGAGGCCCGGAGTGTGCTGAGGTCTGGGGCTCTGTCCTGAAACGTGACATCCGTGTCACTGCTCTGCCTCCAAGCACCCCTTCCTGGTGGTGCTGCTCGGACTCCCAGCCCCTTTGCTCCTAGGGATTTGGACCACGCCTGAAGGCACATAGACTTCAGATGGTTTCTTGGGTACCAGGTCCCTGCCTTTGCCAGGTGCGTTTTCGTTTCGGGCTGACTGGAGAATACCCTTAAGTAGAGTTTCAAAGAGAAAGGTTTTGGACAGTATCTTTTTTAAATCTCGACTGTGCAAACTCGTCCCTTTGATCTTGGAATGGGAAGGACGGCATGTGTCTGCCCTTTCGTAGGATTGCAATTTTACTCCCTTAGAAGCGGTGACATTGTGCCGTGGGAACTGATAACGCGGGCTGCAGGGGCACCAGGACCACCCTGCTCCTCCTTCTTGGAAGGAAGCAGCTTTGCCCAGCCAAGAATCTGGTTATTTTCCTCCTCGTCCTCAGAATTCAGACTTTCTCCGAGGTGTCTAGAACTTGTAGTTCCAGCTTCCAGCACTCCGTTGGCTCAGAGCAGTTGCCCAGTCCCTTCCATGGTTTTCTAGCTTGTTCTGTGTTGTCCTTCTCCGATTCCTGTTATCTGGACCTTCTTTTCTCTCTTGTCTCTGTATCTGCCCTGTGTTCACCTGGACTGGGAGGGAGATCCGGACTCAGCTTTGAGAGTCACCCCTGGGCTCTCAGTGGGGTCCCCTCTGCCTTTCATTGCCCCTGCTAGAACTGTCCCCTGCTAGAACTGTTGTTTTCATCCCCTGGATGCCTTCTTGCTGTCGTGTTTTTCTGGGTTTCAGGACAGTTTGTGCCTGGTTTTGTTTTATGGATGTGCTCTTCACTCACTTCTCCCTGGGAATGCTAATGACACCTCTCTGAAGTCCCTGCTTCTGGAGGGAACCTCTGATTAGAGTGTCATTTACAAGAGTTTAAGAAACAAATGTGGAAAAAAGTAACCTTTGTACAAATCTTAGCGTGTCCATGCACACCTGGTTATTCTGCCGAATGGGGGGTGGGCGAGACTGCAGCATCTGGTAGCAGGTGTGGAAGAGGGCCAGGGGACCGCTAGAGCTGAGTGACAGCCTGGTGGTGGCCTCCCATGAAGACACCACAGGTCAGGGATGGGCACAAGTCTTTCCTGTTGGACAGGGCCGGCACCCACCTCTGGCTGGTAAAAGTCTACAAATGAGCTTGCAATTTCCCAGCGTCTACACCTTTTAATTAACAGGAAAGAGTAAATCAAACAAAGGCATTGTCCCCTAGATACTTAAAAATCATCGGGCAAGTCTGTTAGCTCATGCTAACAGGGCTCACTGTGTAGCCCTGGCTCGCCTGGACCTCACTATGTAGACTAGGCTGGCTTTGAATTCAGGTATCACCTACCTCTGACTTCCCAGTGCTTCAACTCAAGGTACATGGTACATCAGGCCCCCCCTTTTTTTCCCCCTAAATCTTGTCTCAGAAATGTCATTTCTTTATCTGGGTCTACCCTGCCCATCTCAAAGCTCACCCGGTTCGTGCCCGTTAGACCTCAAGCCCAGCTGTTTCTTGTTCTTCTTCTGCCTACTGGCACGGCGGATCTCCAAGCTGAGCAGCAGGGTGAGGACTGCCAGCCTCAGCACCCGATATTCTGTGACAGGCTCTGGTGACGATGTTCCTGGCTCCTGGGATCTTCTGACCACAACCCTCAGCATCGGAGAAGGCTGGCGTGGGGCTGGTGTGTAAAGCACATAGTCACAGACTCACTGCATGAACTGGCGGTGGCGGAGGGGCTGGGGTGGGCTGTGCTGTCACCCTCATTGTGGCTTAGAGGTGATGTCACTCATCCATCAGCTTCATGGGGCAGGGGGCTACAGGCTTTGCCCTGTACTAGATGTAGAACCAGACCTACCCCTCTCTCCAGGGTCTTCACTATCCTAGGAATGGTGTGGGTGGGGAGGACAGGGTGAGGGTTATAGCTGGTACTCCAGAGCCCATCCTTCCCACTCCCACCTGGTTCCTGCCACCCCCCAGAGCTGCCCACCCCTCCCCCAAAGTCCCATTAGTACTATAAACGTTCCGTCTCCACAGTAACGGGTCTGATACCCCAAGGATGTTTCCTCCCTTCCTGCCCCACCCCTTCCCCAAATTACTAGCTGCCTCTTCCAAGCCACAGAGGGTGACACAGAGCCTCTGAGCTGCAAGGTTCCTTAGAGGTCACAGCTTCCAGCTCAGTGGCGCGGGATGGGGATCAGAGGCCCCATTGGTATGCTGCCCCTGCAGGGGGCTCACTGCCATGCTGGGCAGACAGTCTCAAACTGGAACACGATAAAGTTCCAGAAAGTTTCCTCAAGTTTGTCTTTCCGTGGCTCCCACCTGTCAGTACCGTTCAGCCCCCGAGTCAACACTTATTGAAGAGCTATTACACACGAGGCTTTGTTCTGGGATGTGGGGACACAAGACAAGGGAGACAAATGCTCCTCCTGGTGTCACAGAGCTCAGAGCGTAGAAAACAGACACAGGACAGTCACCACAGACGCACTCTAAATGGTTCCACAGCACTGCCTAGAAGCACCAGCGTGCTACAAGGTGCAAACAGGTCCACCAGGGGTTGGAGCAAGTGGCCCTCAAGACCCAGAGCTGGCATGGGAGCTGTCCAGCAGAGGGGGGGGCAGTGGAGGGCTCAGGCTGCCAGCCACAGTCTGTGGAAGGAGAGTTGAAGGGAGGTTGGGCCCTGCCTTCTGGACCCTGTAGAACTGAGATAGGTCTGGGGCTTCTCGAATGGGGAGAGGCCACAGGGAGGGGACTATGTACAGAAGTCTAGAGGTGGCTTCATTTTCCCCTCAGGAATGTGCCAGGCCCTCCCATCACTTTTCCAAGGACAGTGTTTTCCCGAGGTTTCACTGGCTGGACTCATGTCACGACGCAAGGGTCCTAGCTTCCAACGGCAATGGCTTTGATGCAGATGCAGGGGAGTGGGGAGTGGGGGCTGGGTGCCGTCCTAGGAAAGTGCAGGCTGTGGTAGTTTGTCTCATAGCCATGTTTGCCTTCCAAGCTGGGTCTCTCTCGCCTTGGGATTAATAGCAGGTGACTTTTAAACTCAAACGGCCAACTTTGCCCTCTGGCTGGTGCTTTCATGGCAGAGGGGTCCCTGGAGGAGGGATCCAGCTGTTTGTTCTCTATGTCACTTCCTGTGCTGGCTGAGAGCTCCGCCATTCCTACTTTCTACCCTGTGACAGAGCAGGCGGTCACCGTTGCTCTTCAGGTGTGGCTGAGCCACCCCGCTGCCTTTTCACTTAAGCTGCCGTCTCCTGCATTGTCCATTAGGAGGTCATGAAATATTCAATTATGGTCGGGAATGTTTTTGCCTGTGTGCCTCCCTTTGTACATCATGCTGAATTCCGTCTCCT